GAAACAGAAGAGCAGTGAAAATTATTAAGCCCTTGGAAAACAAGAGCTATGAAGAATGGTTTAAGTAGGTGGGATTATTTATCACTGAAATAAAAACACCAGGGGGATGACTTCACTGTGGTTTTCAAATACACGGAAGGTAACCAGCTGTTCTTTTTCCACTACATGCAGAACAAAAGAAGGCTGGTTTGAATTTCTGTAAGATGTACAAAGAACTATCTGATCAGCAGGGCAGGTTACAGAATTTCCCTCACTGAAAATCCAGAATCCCATCCATAGCCATATGTCTGAAATAATTCAGGCTCAGCCCTGGCTGACACCGGCAGGGGAGACATCCTAGATAATCCAAACTTTCTCCCAGCTCCAAAACTCTGAAATTGGAATCCAAGCTATTGGCTTACAGTCAGACTTCCTTTTGTTTATTTTCACCCTGAGCCTGGAAAGGAGGGGACACAGAAAGGATGACCCAACACCCCGGGAGGACTCCTAACTGATCTCTCGGTATCAGGAAAAGCTTTTGTCTGGATACTGTTTCACATCTCCAAAACACAGTCACTTCACAGATCATTTAAAACAGAAGACAATGCAAATACCTGGCTCTAGTGGACACTCGGGGATTCCCTGCCCCGCTCCCCACAACGCCTGCTTTTCTCATTAAGTCTTGGCCTAAGCTCAGAATTGCACATCATTTAAAAAATTATGAAGCCAAGAACTAAAACTATAAATAAGGCCCTTTAGGTTGTGGAGTTTAAATGAAAATTGTTCCAAGTGTTATGCTTTTTAAATTGGGGAACATAAATCTGATTTTGAAATTAGTAACTGGCCTGCCTTTCTCTTAAGGCACCATGAAACATAAAGAAGCCCTCAAACATTTCAAATACATTCACAATCGTATCAAACTACTTGGGGGAGGCAAGGTGGGGAAGAAGCAATCCAGACACCAGCTGCATTTAGCAAGAGCATTTTCTGGTGGTACCAGACATCTGTAATTACCATGAACACTTTTCATTTCAAATCTTACAAGGCAGAGGTAGCAAACTGGCATCTAGTGGGCCAAATCAGGCCCACTCATGTGTTCTGTTGAATCTGAATTGAAAAAAAAAATCTCTTTTAATTTAGTTGCCAATACTTTAGAAGATTAGAAACTTTCCTATCAAATTCCAGATTCTCAGCTTCTCTTGAAAAATGGGAAGATCAGGAGACACCACATGGCCACAAATGGCTGGAGTAGCTGCCCTCCTATGGGTGGGACACGGAGCACTTCAGTTTGCCACACTCCCCACCATGCCCTATGGTCTCTCTGACACTGAGAAGGTAGGCCATTGCCATTTATCACCACACTTCATTGATCTGTCGTCCTGGCCCGCTGCACTGGCACCTCCTGAAGGCACAGCATCCGCTAAATAAAAGCGGTAGTCTTCACCAACGATATGAAACAAGAAAGGCTAACAACCTTCACACTGTTATTGTCCACATCTCTCCAATAAAGACACAAGGAAGGATTCCTCTCCCCTAAGAACCAAATTAGCATTGAGGCTATTGGGGACCATGGGGTTTTCTTTCGTAAGAGGAAGGTGTGTCGTTTCTTCTCTAGGAGTAAAATAGCTTTCTCTTCATTTGTTTCTTTTAAAAGATGCTCAACTCTGAAAAAAGGAAAAGTTCTGAAAATCCTGTAACTCCACATTTTTGGAGGAACAGTCTTCCTGTTTATTTGTGCTTAAGTCAGGGAACCTGAGACGAGGGCTTGGCTAGAAAAAAAAAACACCCCACATTTGCAGCTATGAAGTTGCAAGACTGAACTTTAATATACAAACACGCACGACCTCAAATTATGACCCATTGATTCTGATGATGTCATAGTTGCTATAGACATTTTTGAACTTCTGCTCTGGGACTGTCTTCAGTTATTACTAATGTGTTAACCAAAAATGGTCTCATGACTTTAAGGCCCCATCTCATTTTTGGTTCAAAATGCTATTCCCCAACCTGAGGGCCTGGGCCTGGACCTGGACCTCAATGTCTTCTGATTCTCTCTGGAGATCAGATCAATGTGCCTCAAAGGCCCAGGATTTGGCCCTCTGGAGGATCTCCTGCAGGACGCTCTGTCCATTGTGTGGCTGGACTGGGTCTGTCCAGGTGGTTCTTGTTGCTCGTGGCCAACCTCTGGGAGAAAAACACACCTTTACCTGGGCTTCCACTTCCCCAATCCATCCCTGGACAAAGCTGACTATGTCAGATGCTAAGTCCTTTCTGTAGGGCACTAGGGAGTTAAGATGAATACCTAGCTCCCTACCTTCAACTACCTTCAAGATTTGCTTACCTGGGTCCTTGGACCTACTCCAGGTGTCCTGCCCAGAGAACACCAGCTAACTTAGCCACACAAGCCTCTTATTCTCAGGACCAAGGCTTTTTATTGAGATCATCCTTATATTCTAATTCTTGTTTCCCCAATTTCAAGAAGCCTGTGATTCAGTAGAACCTTTATCTGAATTCCGTGTTATCATTTCCATTGCCTGGAACAATGTATCAGTCAAAAACTGCAGGTCTGCTTAAAACAGATGTTTTGCCTTAATCTACAAGGCAACTGTTCTCATTCCCAGCACAAGATGGGGAGGTTTAAAAAAAAAAAAAAAGTGAAACTAGTAAGGCAAAACCACGAAGTTGGGACATCTCAACACTGTGGTTTTGCTACTTGGTATGTTAGAGTCTGCTTGTGTTGAACATAAGAAACATTAGTATTTGAAAATAAGTATCCAAACCATAAATCCAAACGAAAAGTTTACCTGATTTTTGGTCTAGCACATTTTTTCCCTTGCATTTTCACAAGAAGGAAGTTCATTTAGCAAGCTCTCTGCCCACATGCATGGAGCTCAGTTGATGTTCCCCACCCTCTGCCAGTCCTCTGTGCTGTTCCTGGGGTCACTTTCTCACAGATGCCTCATTTTCTGTGCAAAGCTGAATATCTAACCTAAAAGTAGCTCCTCGGGGTTCCTTTGGAGCACGTACCATTTCTTGGCTTCAATCTCTCTTGATACTGTTCCAGAGTGAATTTTCACGTTAGCAAGTTTGGACTGACCAATCTCCCTTGCAGAACGTATCCTGACGGTGGAAGGGCAGGGCAGGCATATGTGGGCAGGAGCTCTGCACTTGTCCCAGACTCTCCAGTATCATGGAACATCTCTTCTCCAATCGGATGCCTGGTTCTGTGGGGGAGGTGGTTGTGAGGCTCACTTGTCTCCCCTGCAGAGCAGCTGCAGGAAACTCGATGCCAGAGAACAGACAAACACGTTCTTCCCCCAAGAAGCCGTCAGCTGCCTTTACAGAGCATGGAGTGTGGCATTTGCATCAAAAATACACACAAACCTCTTCTTTGCAGCAAGGCTGCAAACCTTCCCTTCCCACCTGCTGGGCATGTGCTTGGATGGAAAGTCCTGCCTCATTCTACCTCCCAACCCCTCCTTGAGACATTTCTCAGTGTCTCCCTTAATATTGGTCCTACCTGCTAAAGGAGTAAAACCCAGGGTCGCCTGTGTAGTGCTGAGTAAAAGCAGGGTGCCCGAAGCCAACAGCACCCACAGAAAGGGTGGAGAAAGATGCTCACAACCCCTCAAGGACACAGGGAGAAGGGATTCCACAAAGACATCATCACACACATGCTAATAGACCAGCAGGATTTGAACAACTGTTTTCCCTTCGGAAGGAGAAATTCTGTAGAAACTTCATTCATTAAAAACAACATTAACTTTTCCTTTTTTAAAGCAAATTCTTTCCTCCTAAACTCTAAATACCTATTTTTGGTAGGAACACAAGAGACCAATCTTTCACTGGGTAAATACAACAGAAACACACAGCGAAACATGATTCACAGGCTGAGTTGTGGGGGGAGTACTTTGAGATTCAAGAATTGAATGACTTCAGGTCTCATGTCTTCTTCAGATGATATTAGAAGAGCAAACTCATCTTTGTGACAGTCTCCCCTCCACCTTCTTAAAATGAGATTTATCATTAGTCAAAACCAGTTCAGCAGATTAAGTGGCTGCCACCTGCACATTGCCATATTTCAATGGATTCTGATCCCTGATATTCTGGACACAGCTTTAGATCAGAAGCCAAATGAAGCACGGACTCCGGCTTCCAGGAATCCAGCCCAGTTGGGTATTAGTCTTTTAAAAATAAACTTCCAGGCAGCAACATCTAAGATACTGTGCAGTAAATGTAACCCCGGGAAACTTGGTGGGCAGATCCCACCCCCACACGAAGCCTACTCAAACCAAGAGGCGGTCCTGTGTCCTGAGTTTTGCTGCTTTCTGGACATTGACCAACGTATGTCAGAAAGAATTGTCTAGATGGTCAGCCTGACCCTGCAGCCCCCACCTCAGTGTGCCATGGCACCCACGAACACATAAAGACTCGTATTATGAAAGGTGATACGATATACAGTCACTTCCTTGACCTTTGACTCAGAGCTTTTTTAACATCCAAGCCATTGTAAATTCTACACCCAAAACAGACAAGAACATCACCTGTAAGAACATGGATTCCAGATAGACTGGCACTTGATTTCTGTGGCTGTAATGGTACTAAAAGTGCTTCTTCCACAAAGCATTTCCAATCAAAGTAGCCAACAGCGAATGGGCAAAGTCGGAAGAGATAAATAAAATCTGAATGAGCAGTGCAGGTATTTTCCTGTTTCTCTGTGCATGTTTCCTCCCGACCTCCCAGAGTTGGCTCTAATCCAAGGTCTGACCTAATGTGACCAGCTGCCGTCAGACCTTGTGGACATGCCTTCCAGATATCCATATGGTTTTAGAAAATTGGAGACTTTGCCAAGATATCAGGTAGAGGGATGGGGCAAGGAGAGCAAGTACTGGCCCGAATTTCACTCCAAATATACTTGTAGGAGACCCCAGCTCCAAGCAGACTGCTCAACCAGAGAGAAGAGCTGGGGGACCAGAGAGAGGCAGCAGCTAAAGTGGCAATGCGTAGACTCTTCTGTTTTGTTACAAAGGGGCGACTGCGTGGAGTTCACCAGTGTAGCTGCAGCATCCAGGCTCTGCTCGGCACGCCCCAGAGGTGAGGAGCTTAGAAGGGAAGGCGGGAGGATCCTCCTCACCTAAGGAAAGAAGACAGGGCAGAGACACGTCATCGCACTTCACTGGGCTGGGGGCTAAGGCCAGAGTGTGGCTGCATCTGGGCTGGGACTATGGGCTTTACAAGCGAGGCAGGCATACCAACCAGCTCAAGACAGGGCACTCTCATCCTGGTGGCGGTCTCCCTTAGCCCAGGGTCAAGGGTTTGCATGCATGACTCCCGCTGGCCACAGGGACCGTAAGGAGCAGTCCCAGATGGCATCCTGCTGGTGCTCCCTTGGGAGGTAGGACTCTTCTACAGAGCCCTCCCACCTGGCCCTGTGCTGAGATATGATGGAGAGAACATCGTGTCCATCAACCCCTGGATCACAAGATGTGGCTTTCAAAGCACTGGCATTGGTGAGGGGTGGTGAACACCTCAAATCCCAACAAAGATACAGGTCCACAGCCCCTCATCCGATACCCCTGGGGCAAGCTGTCTTGGCAGTCAGATGTCTGTGGAGTTCAGGAAGGTGATATAATGCACACACTGCATGTTACATAACACCACTTGCGGGGCCTGGGCAAGCTCACTGTAACTTAGCATCAGTATTTCTGCAGTTACCATGAACACTCCCAGTGCCTGGAATAAATCGGGACTACCAATGGAGTTGGATTACTTCCCATTAGGTTTCATTGCCAATAACTCCACCCGAAAATTAGGAAAACCCTTGCATGGATTTGGGAATTAGGGACAAAGGCTGTGGCCTGCATCAGGAACCCAACCCAAAGACACTCTGGGCTCTCCTGCACCTTACCCAGGCCGGAGGAGGAGGACACGCTCTCCGTCAGTGAAGATGTTTCTGTTTGATCCGCTGAGAGTCCTTCCATTAGAGGCAGAGACAGCTCCGAGGAGGGCACGGATGAGTCGTAGATGCCCGAGTCCCGGGGCATGTCCGAGGGGCTGGCGGCTTTCACCACGTGCAGCAGGGGGCGCAGGACCGAGCCGCTGCCGGGCCCAGGCCCCGCCTCCACGTCTGGGTCCAGGCTCAAGGGCTGGCCCTCCGAGGGCAAGTCGGCCTGCACCCCAGGGACCGCCTCGGCCTTGAGGCAGAAGTCGCTGTCAGGGCCTGGTTTGCACATGACATCATTTAACACTAAGCCCGAGTCAAACTTCTCCAGCACTGGCTCCCGGTACTGAAGTGGGGTAGGGCGTAGGGGAATGAATTGCTTCTCAAACCAGTCGGGCTCCTCATCGATAAATTGGTGCATGTTGCAAATGGCGACGTAAAGGGACCGACCTGATTTGCTGCGAAAGTAGTTCCTTCTGCTCACCTGTCCGGGGTACTGCCCGGGCTCCGGGAGACCGTGGTCTCGGGAGTGCAGGTGGGAACAGAGCTGGGGAAGGTTGTCCATGAGTTTGTACTTGGTGCTCAGGTCCAGGATGCCGGGAACATCTCCCTCGCAGGAATAGTCGAAGTAAACGGTGATGAACTTGCTGAGCTGGGCTGAGGAGCTCTGTTTGGCCTGGCGGAGCTTTTCAGCGATGGCGGACACAGCTACCAGGAAGAGCTCGCCCTTCCCGGAGCCCCGGCCGCTGCCTTTGTGCTTGTAGTTCTTTTTGTCCACAAAGTACTTCATGCCTTTGGAACACACCACGATGATGAACTGGGACTCATGGATCTTCTGGATGACCCATTCTCTCTGTCCTTCTCGGCAAAGACTGAAGTCTTCCCACAAGTCCAGAGCCACCTGGAAATAGATCACAGACTTCACTCACCCCAACCGCCGGGGGGGGGGGGGGGGGGGGGGGGGGGGGGGGGGGGGGGGGAGGTCAGGTAACAAAAACAAGAGTGTTACAAGAAGGTCACATCATACATCCCTTGAGTATTATCAGCACTGCCGTGTGCAGGCTCAGAGCTGCTGGGCTTTGAGAACAGCTCACATTCTGTGGGTGATGGTCACATGCCAGGCCCTCTGCATTGTGCCCCTGTTTTAGCCTAACGTGGGGCCATTAACACACTCACCCTATGAGGGAAGATCCTGAAGAGAAATCTGGAAGGTGATGATGGAAGGATCTGGGTGAAGGACCCCGAAGTAGGCAGCAAATGGGGCTCACATCTGGATGCCAGAGCTGCCCACAATGCTGACTGACTCACATCTAGAGAGCATGACTGACAAAGAAGACCTCCTTGGCCCCAAGGTCAGCCACGCTGTTTACCAGTCAATGGCCAGAGAAGAGAGGGTGGTGGACTGTAGTAACACAGCCACTCTCCTTAATGCACTTAGTGAAGGACTGGCACCTCCCCCCATGACTTCATGGCAATCTATGGGGTCATATCCCTAGAAGGCCTTTAACCCCAAGGAGCCTCTGGGAGGGCATTTGGGGGGAGGGGCACTGACAAAGGAAGGAAAACCAGGCACGCATGTCCCCTTCAGAGGGCTTCACCTTCTCTGACCATTTTCATGTGATTCTGCTGAAAACATCTCTTGGCAGTTGTATCAACCTTTCTTTCTGTGGCTCAGAAACTAATTCCCGGGGGTGCCTGGGTGGCTCAGTCAGTTAAGTCTTCAGCTCAGGTCATGATCTCATGGTTCTTGAATTCGAGTCCTGCATTGGGCTCTGCACTTACAGTGTGAAGCCTGCCTGGGATATTTTCTCTCTCCCTCTCTCTTGCCCCTCCTCCATTTGTGCACGTGCTTGCTTGCTCTCTCTCTCTCTCTCTCAAAAATAAACAAATAAACTTAAAAAAAAAAAAAAAAGGAAACTAATTCCCAGGGGCTATGCCTGAGTGCAGGAGCCACTGTCTCTTATGAGGAAGGGTGTTCTGAAATGATTTTCTTCCTTTTTGGCTCTAAGGTGTTATCAAAGGGAAGAAGGTCCCCAGCATTCACTCACTTGCTGAAAATAATCCTAAATCATCTTATGTTTCCTTAATTCTCACTAGCATTATACATTCTAAAAGCTAACTAGAAATATATACCAAGCATTTTAAAAATTTTCCCATCTTTGACCCAGCAATTCCACTTCCTGGCTTCTATCTCTGGAAAATCATTAGAAAGGATCAATCATTAGAAAGGATCAATCAATATGAAATAACTCAATTATAGTAAATTGATATTATGGATCATGTGGCTAAAGTTGCATGGTACAGTCATGCTGGAAAACAGTATGGAGGTTCCCCAAAAAGTCAAAACTAGAACTACTCTATGATCCAGCAATTGTACCATTATGTATTTCTCCACAGAATACAAAAATGCTAATGTACCCCGATGTTTATAGCAGCATTATCAATAAAAGGCAAATTATGGAAAGGCTCAAATGTCCATCGATAAAGAAGATGTGGTTTATACACACAATGGAATACTACTTGGTGATGAAAAAGAATGAAATCTTGCCATTTGCAACAATGTGGATGGAATAGGAGGGTAATATGCTAAATGAAATAAGTCAGTCAGAGAAAGACAGATATGTGATGTCACTCATATGTGGGATTTGAGAAACTCAACAGATGAGTTGAGGGGAAGGAAAGGAAAAATAAGATACAACAGAAAGGGAGGCAAACCATAAGAGACTCTTTAAACACGGAATGAACTGAGAGTTGATGGGGGTGGGGGATTGGGAGGGTGGGGGATGGGCATGGAGAAGGGCACTTGTTGGGATGAGCACTGGGCATTGTATGTAAGTGATGAATCATGAAAATCTACTCCTGAAGCCAAGACTACACTGTATGTTAGCTAACTCGACAATGAAAAAAAAAAAGATGTGGCATGTATATATTATATATTATACATTAGATGTTATATATATTTCATTATTACATTATATTACATATACGTCCCACATGATGGGACATTACTCAGCCATAGAAAAGAATGAAATCTTGCCATTTTCAATGACATGGATGGAGCTAGAGAAGATTATACTAACCAAAATAAGTCAGAGAAAGACAAATACCATATGATTTCACTCATATGTGGAGTTTAAGAAACAAAACAAATGATCATTAGGAAAAAAGGGAGAGAGAAAGCAAACCAAGAAACAGACTCTTAACTATAGAGAACTGATGGTTACCAGAGGGGAGGTGGGTGGGGGATGGGTGAAATAGGTGATGGGGATTAAGGAGGGCACTTGTCCTGATGAGTACCAAGTGTTGTATGGAAGTGTTGAATCACTACTGTCTATACTGGAAAATAATATTACCCTGTATGTTTTACTAACAGGAATTTAAATACAAACTTAAAAAGTAATGAAATAAAATTATAGTTTACATAGAACTTTCAATAGTGTAAAAAGTTATTAAATGAAGAGACAAGGAAAAAATCATTCCAATCACCCCAAAATGGAAAACTGTATGCATGACTTCATCTATGTAGAAAGGAACTGGAAGGAAATACACCAAGTATTAGCTGTGGGTCCTCTTTTCTCCAGGTTGAGATTACAGGCCATTTTTTTTTCTTTGTCATCCTTTAGTGTTTGCAAATTTTCTACAGTAAGCATTACCCTCATAATTGGAAGACTTTTTCCACCTGAGGCTAGTTACAAAGTAGAGCAAATGGGTTGTCTGTGTCTAAAGACTGTGTGGCACCCGCTAGAGCTTGTAATTGCTTTTTTAGTACACAGGCCAATCAGCCTATCTCTGTAGCTTCATGTGTCAGCCTTGTAAATAGGCGTTCCTGACACTAGGGGGCAGCCTCGCTACATGAAAAGACTAAAACCTACCAGGAGGCAGAGTATCAAAGCACAAATAACTTCAATTACACAATTACTGTACAATTCTTGCATTGGCAAGAAAGAGAGTGTGCCTTCCATGAGAGCTTCAAACTTCACTCTAAAATTAGCACTATGACATTATAGAAAAGCTACATATTTAGAGCTTAATTCAAAAGAATAGGCAAGAAACCTGAGTGGACCATTTGAGTACTTCACAAATTATTGTTCTTTCTTAGCAAAACTTCTCCAAAGAGCTGTCTAAACCCAATGCTTTATTTTTCATGTTCTCTTAGACCTTTCAAGGCTCACCAGGATATTTTGAGTGACCACCCCCCAACACTCCCGTTGCATGTTTCCAGGGCACATGCTGCTTCCCTCCATGCAACTGCATGGTCTTTTTGATGTTTATAAAACTTCCTTCCAGGTAGGTACCACTAAAGGCTTTTGAGCAGGAGTGTTTCAGGGTTAGGACTAAGCATTAGGAAACATTTAGTGCTGGCGATGGGTAGGACAGACTGAAGAAGTGTGAGGCTGACCCCGATTTGGAAGCCAGCCCCTGGTGGAAGGCAAGAATCACCAAAGGAGGCAGGGAGGTGGTGAGGAGCATGGCAGCATGTGTCCTGCCCAGGGGAACAGAAGAGACTTCAGACTCCTCACCTCACAGCCGCAGAAGTCCTGGAGGAAGTAGGCAAAACACCGGACAACATTCATGTGATTCTGGCCATCTTTACTGGAATAGCAGAGGAAAACCTTCGGCCGAGGCCAGAGCCTCTCTCTGGGGAGTGCCGTGGTGTACGAGGAGGACTCAGAACTCTCTTCATCTAAATGTGAATATATATTTTCTAAATTGGAAAAGAAGATAAGGTTGATGCCTATGAGCAATGCTTTGTCCTGTTCCCTGAGACTCAGGACCTAATGCCATCTTCAAGAAACAACAGTTGACATGTCTGCCTGAGCATGTGCCCAGTGCCCCCCCCCCCCCAGCCCCTGGGGACACCACCGGGAATGGGACAGCTGATTTCTCCAGTGGAGCAACAAATGGCCAAGATTTGTTGTTCGCCTGACACTGACCTCAAGTAGGCTGGGAAAACTGCAGGGACCACCCTGGCCAGCAGAGAGCACCCAGAAGCAGCTGGTGCTCCAGGTGTTAACTACCAGACCAATTAAGCACTGACAGCTGAGCTTCTTAAACAAAAGGGGTGGGTGGGAGAAAAGAAAACCCTTTTACTGAGGTATAACTTATAAAGTATATAACTCAAGAGTACATCTCAACAAACTTTTATCTAAATATATACCTGTGCAACCACCACTCAGATCAAGGTATGAAACATTTCCAAGCTCCCCCAGGAAGTTCCTTCCCAACACCTGACTTTTATAAGTGATCACGCCCTACCTCTGCCCTTACACCTTTAAACTTCCTTTATGTTCTTGAATTTACTACCTTAAATTTGAGAACAGAATTACAGCTTCGTGTTCATGGCTCCTGAGGTTAAAAATCAAGCATTTTAATGCCAGGAACTACAGGAGCTATGTGGCTTCCCAGATGCCCACTCTGGGTGGGACCAAGGGCTCCCAGGCTCCCTCTGTTGGCTGTGGTCCTGCCAACCTGGGGGGGAACACACCACACAGAGAGATACCTTGTTGCTTCTTGCGGCACATCACGGTGAAGAGGGTGGCAAATGCGGAGATGACAACCAGAGGCACGGTGATGGCAACAGCCCTAATGGGCCCCGCCCACGGGGAATGTGCTGGGAAATTTCAAAGACAAGAGGCTTGAAACTTAAGCAGCACAAGGTCAAAGGGAAATCTCCCCCCTACCTTTTTAAACACAAGCTGCATAACAGATTCTAGAACCTCTTGACCACATTTCTCTAGTACTGGTCTGGTGATTAAAAAAGGATTCCTTTTAAAGGGTTATAGGATACAATACCACAGTTAGAGTTGCCGGAACAGTAAATACCTATGAGTGGGAATTCTGCCCAAGGAAACCTCACCTCCCACCACTTTTCTTCCAAGGACAAGTGACTATTTAGTCCCAGCTACACACAAATACACACCAACCACACTGGCGTCAGTTTTCCAGACACTGACATTAGGATGGAAGGAAAGTCAGCTTTGATGGGATAGCTTTTCTTTTTATTGTTTTTAAGTTTATTCTGAGAGAGAGTGTGCACACACATGTGAGAGGGGGAGGGGCAGACAGAGAGAATCCCCAGCAGGCTTTGCACTGTCAGTGCAGTCTGACTTGGGGGGATGTGGGGCTCAATCTCACAAACTGTGAGATCATGACCTGAGCCAGGTGAGCCAAGATCATGACCGGAGCTGAAATCAAGAGTCAGATGCTTAACCGACTGAGACACCCAGGCACCTCTGATGGAACATCTTTTTAAAAGACAGGAGCTCAGGGGCGCCTGGGTGGCGCAGTCGGTTAAGCATCCGACTTCAGCCAGGTCACGATCTCGTGGTCCGTGAGTTCGAGCCCCGTGTCAGGCTCTGGGCTGATGGCTCGGAGCCTGGAGCCTGTTTCCGATTCTGTGTCTCCCTCTCTCTCTGCCCCTCCCCCGTTCATGCTCTGTCTCTCTCTGTCCCAAAAATAAATAAAAAACGTTGAAAAAAAAAATTTTAAAAGACAGGAGCTCAAATGCTGTGTTTTGATTTTGTAAAACATGAAGTATAGAATGTTATCAAATAGCATGGTCTGCTGTGGTCCTGTGCCAACATTTCACACAGAAAATTAAAAAAAAAAAAAATCATACCTGGCTTTAAGGCATAATGCATCACTTTTCTTGTTGTATTAGTGTCATCCACCAGCTACAAAACAGAGGATGCTGTATCATTATTTTATAAAAGTGATAACATCTCAACAGATTCCGTCCATGTTTCCATATGTGGACAGTGGGGGGTAGGAGGAAGGAGAGCTGCTGTCTATGATCACGAATGAGCCAGGACTAGACATTACATCAGCTCCATCTCTGCTTTACCAACTCAAAACCCTCAACCTCATCACCTTTCCTTTCATGAATCAAACGTGGTTCACTCATCGATGAATCAGCTGGTGAGTTCCACATTCTAACAATCTTCAATTACAACGGCATCCTACCACTAATTTTATGAGGCCCCCATTAATGCTTTAAGAGGGTTTAAAACCCTCTTAAAACCACATACTGCTACCAAGTCATACAACCAGTGTTTCTCCTAAAATGTTGAAACATGTTGGTTTCTCTGAATAGTGGGGCTATGGGCAAATTTTTAATTTCATTTCCTATTTTTCTTTTTTTCTATTTTTGTTTGACTCCTATTTTTTGTAGTATGTTTGATACTAAAAAAGTAATCTAAAATAAAGAAGAAAAATATATATCCCTTGCATGCTTTTTTCCGTGGTATTTAGAACTTCATATATATTAATACAGAAAATGTCAGCAGAAATCTAGAGAGGGATAGGCAGATATAATGGACAGCACTTTTGCTGTTTTATTACTAAAAGTTTTTATTTTTTATTTTTATTTGAGAGAAAGAGCAAGCGTGTGAGTGGGGGAGGGGCAGAGAGAGAGAGAGAGAGAGGGAGGGAGGGAGAGGGAGAGGGAGGGAATCCCAAGCAGGCTCCACACACTATCAGTGCAGAGCTCGATGCCAGGACTGTGACATCATCATCTGAGCCAAAACCAAGAGTCAGACGCTCAACCAAATGAGTCACCCAGGCATCCCACTAAATAATTTTTAAATCTAAATTTTTAAAAACATATTTTTGTAGTATGAAGATGTAGGGGCCCAGGGCAGGTTGTCCCTGTAGGTATCACAATGGCCTATTGATAAATACTTTGAAATGAAGTTACTTGGGGAACAAGCAAGGACACTCAGACCCTCCCTTCTGTCCCCCTGAAAGCAGGAAACAGATCTCCCATATAACAAATACTCTCACTATACGAACAAGTAAAAACGACATCCTTCTGGTCTGAGATAGGGACTTGAAAGTCGAGAAAGCTGTAGAAACAAACCTTGTTATTTTTTTTCTAATTTATTACCTCAGCCTAAATTCCACTTAGAATTCCTTATTAAGTAAAGCTCCCAAACATCTATTTTCTTTATCCTGTCAACTCCTCACTAATTTAGTATCTCTTTGTTTAAAAAGTATAAAAACTACACCTGCCTTTGTCATTTCTTTGGGTCTCAATTTCATTATTGGGCCTTTGTGCCCACTCAGTAAGACTCTGGTTTTTTTCTCCCCATAATCTGTCTCATGTCAATTTAATTCCTAAAACAGCTAGAAGAACCCAGGAAGGAAAGAAGGAAGTTTCTTCCTCCCCTACAAAGGAATACTGTCTAAAAATTCTAAATCATGGACTATATGGTTTCATTAAAATATTTATATGAAATATTTGAAATAATGAATGAGAAAAATCAAAGATTGATTACATATAAACTTTTTAAAAAGCATGTTAAGGACCATGTAAAAATATAATTGTACACATCCTCAATGGCTTGAAATTTTAGTGTTTTAAACAGTGGGAATTCTACATGAACTAGATTCATTCTGCAGAATTAATAATAGGGCTTTCTTGAGTTATACGTACCTCAATTATATAATCCCCAGGAGAAACATTTTGAAGGAGGCAGCTGGTTGTCTCTGTATTTTGCTCCTGCAAAGAAACAAAACAACGCTTTTAAAACTCACTTCTTGGGGCGCCTGGGTGGCGCAGTCGGTTAAGCATCCGACTTCAGCCAGGTCACGATCTTGCGGTCCGGGAGTTCGAGCCCCGTGTCAGGCTCTGGGCTGATGGCTCAGAGCCTGGAGCCTGTTTCTGATTCTGTGTCTCCCTCTCTCTCTGCCCCTCCCCCGTTCATGCTCTCTCTCTGTCCCAAAAATAAATAAACATTGAAAAAAAAAATTAAAAAAAAAAACCAAAAACAACTCACTTCGTGGATAAAGGTCATCTGGACTGCTCTTTTCCCCCTAGAGCTGAAGGAGACTTGCCACCAGTCTTAACCATGTTCAGAACACTTTGGTTAGGGCAGAAAGCAACCATGTGTATCTGCTACATGTTATCTGAACTTCACTTTGATAAAAAGGCCCAGGAGAGCCCAGGACCAACCCCCGACCCCCCATAGTCTAAACTTAGCTGGTGATGCCCTCAGCAGGCATATTTCATCTGAAGACAAAGAAACTAGTTAGAATACCCTTGACTTATTGAAAGGGTGAGGAAAGAAATTACCCGCCCATGTTTGTGCATGTTTTATGTGCTATAATTTTAACTCGAGCAGAAGGTCAAGGAAGATCAATGACACAGATGAGAGCCCACAGGAAAACAAAACTCAACAATATAGGAGCACGTCCAGGAAGGCACTAAGTTCTGCTACCCTAACCCAAACCCTCTCCTGGTGCTCGCTAGAGGCAATCTAGCAGTCCTGTGCACTTGCACCAGACATCTTCCCCTCTTGCTGGCCACCCTCAGTTTAAGAACTTGGCTGCTGAGCTTCTACTTGACTTTGGCCTATGTGTAAAATCAGTAGGCCCCTAAAATCCTAGTGGTTTGGCTCCTAGATGTGGCATTTCCACTGACTAGCTGTGTGACCTTGAGCAAGCTAGGTGACCACCTGAGCCTCAGGTTGCCCATCTGTAAAGTGGGGTGACAGCAGCCTCTGTTGCATAGAGTTGTAATGATTCAGTGAGCATAAAGCACGGTGACTGGCACACAGTGAGCACCCAATTAATGTTTAAAATGTAGCAGAAGGAACTAGAAATACTTCATTCTTTTGGCTCCTTGGTAATACCTTTCCCAGGCTACATCACCACGGGGATAGCTGGGGTGTAGGTAACTGGGGAGTGAGGATATCCCTGAGACTATGCTGGAATATCTACCAACTGTTGAGAGTCAAAGCCTAATGTTCATGTTGAACCAGATTCCAGGGGCCCAGGGGTCACTTTAAAACATGTACTATTCCAGGGGCACCTGGGTGGCTCAGTCGGTTAAGTGTCTGACTTCGGCTCGGGTCATGATCTCACGGTTCGTGAGTTCAAGCCCTGTGTCAGGCTCTGTGCTGACAGCTCAGAGCCTGGAACCTGCTTCAGATTCTGCATCTCTTTCTTTCTGCCCCTCCCCCACTCATGCTCTGTTTCTCTCTCAAAAATAAACATTAAAAAAAATTTAAAACATGTAGTATTCCTTAATGTACACATAGCAGCTCACCTGTTTACAGGTCTTTCGCTTGAAGGGCCCTTCATGCTTGAGCTTATAATGAAGATAGAAGAAACGGAAGCCAAAGGTGTGTGGTGCGTGGTCGAAGGACACCTGCATGTCCAAACCGTGCTGGGTGATGTTCAGGTTCCGAGGCTTCCAGACTGGGAGGAGGAAGGACCCGGATGAGCACCCAGAGGCCACCCCGACACCACTGTGCTGCAAAGACTTGACGGATAGGAACGGCTATACTCACAGGGTTTACAGGCCAGGTTGTCCGGCTGTAGCAGTAGGTCGCAGGCTATTAAGAAAGATGTGTATTTTTAGTTATAGTACAGTCTGACATTTTCCTCATGCAATAATTCAATAAGATGTAAATATATGGCGCTGGGTACTGCTGGTCAAAGTATAAAATAGATCAACTGAGCAATGATTTCCGGTACAGTGCAGTCATATCTCATGAAAATTTAAATTGTACAATATAAAAATATTAATGCAGTTCATTTTGTGCCAAATAAATGGAAACAGTGTAAAGTCACCCAACCTTTTAAAGCTTGTCAAGCATTACATAGTTTCAAGGCCAGTGGGACTGTGTTCAGCCCACGGCCACATGGAGGCTCTGTTTCAGCTGTAAACAGAAGTGACGCCAGCCCTGCTCCACTGCACAGGTGCTTAGGCGCAAGAGAACTTTGGAGTGATCCTAGTAACTGCCTTGGGTTGTTTCCACATTTGCCAGCATTCTATTTTAAAATCCTTTTGGGGGTGTCTGGGTGGCTCAGTCAGTTAAATGTCCGATTTCAGCTCAGGTCATGATCTCAGGGTTCGTGAGTTCGAGCCCCGAGTCAGGCTCTGTGCTGACAGCGTGGAGCTTGCTTCAGATTCTGTATCTCTCTCTGTCTCTCTCTCTCTCCCCCTGCCCCTCCCCCACTCATGCACATGCACACACTCTCTCTCTCTCTCTCTCAAAAATAAATATATAAATAAATAAACATTTTAAAATCCTTTTGATGGAGTCTAAAAATGGCATGCAGGCATCTACTAAATAGTGGCACCAGCACTGAAAACTAGGCTGTAGAGTTTTGAAACAGGACTTAAATGTGATAAAAACACGAGAGGGGCCAAACAGCTAGTCCAATATGCCATGTTGCTAACCCAGGGAGAACCTTCTGGAAAATGTCCACATACTGCCAAGAAAATCAAAGGCAGCATCACGATCACAGGGCATGGAAATGGTGATAAACACATCTCCCGCCTCTGCCTCACCCCCAGATAGACACAATGATTCTGATGGGAAGACTTTATCTTAAATTATGCTAGTTCTGATTAAGGCAAGCTTTTCTTAAACATATTTGAATCCTCTAACTGGTTCTGTGTAAGGCACTGACTGAGATGTAAAATGCACATAGTCTTTGCCCTATGGAATCATATTTTAATTAAGAAAATGAGACCAAACTGTTATAAAATAATTGTGCTGCACAGGAAACACAGTTTAAAAAAAGAAAAGAAAAGAAAGGCAAAAAGAAAACAACCAGAGTGTGAATGCTGCAACTGAGAACAAAAACATCACAGAGGAGGAGGACGGCAACTGGGCCACATAGGAAGGGCTGTTGAGTTGGCCTGACAGCTGACCATCAGGGGTCTGGTATGCCGGACAGAAAGAATGGACGGGAAGGCAAGAGGGAATGGCTGCAGGTTTCAGGATGCCTCGGCACCAAATCTGAAAGCAGCGATTCAGGCTGAAGAAAGACACACCACACCGTGCACAGAACGGACAGAAAAGGGTTGGCTGGTCAGCATGGCTGGCTGGAGAGTGTGGACTCCAGAGTCAGACTTCTGGGTTCAAATCCCAGCTCCCACCAGGCTCTTTAATCTCTGGGTGTATCACTGCACATGTAATAAGTGGACATGAGAGGATTAAATTCTTGAAGGGTTGGAATGGGGGTAAACTGAGTCAGTGTTTAGAAAGCATTTAGGGGTGCCCTGGGTGGCTCAGTTGGTTAAGTATCCGACTTCAACTCAGGTCATGATCTCATGAGGTTTATGAGTTCAAGCGCCACGTCGGGCTCTGTGCTGACAGCTCAGAACCTGGAGCCTGCTTTGGATTCTGTGTCTCCCTCTCTCTCTGCCCCTCCCCTGCTCATGCTCTGTTTCTCTCTCTCTCTCTCTTTCCAAAATAAACAAACATTAAAAAAAAAAAAAAAAGAGCACAGGACCTGACACGTGAAGGTTAAAAAAACAAACTTTCTAGAAAAAGGCAATCTCAGGGTTGTTGCTTAATTTTCTTAATGTAATCCTGAAAACAGGCAATCACTCACAGAAGCCACCTTCCTGATGACAGGTAAAAGATGGATTATTTCACGCTCTCCCCTTCACCCCAAAAAATCAACTTCTACTGTTTATTCCTGCTCTTCTTTTTTCCTAAATGGTTTTAATATATGGCTGTCTGACAGCACTTTTAAAAAAAAAAAGAAAAAAAAAAGAAATCAAGCATCAACATCTACTCTTGAACAAGCGTGAAATGGGTGTCGTAGGCAGTATTAGGTGAATACTGCCTAGGCCAAATCCTAATTCTAAGAATTGCTTTTCTGGGTACTTTTCCTGGATGCTTTTCTCCTCACAATGCTGGTGTCATACCAGTATTTGGTATATTTCTCCAAAAAGTCATTAGAATCAGGAGCAGTCTCATCATGGGAACCAGGCAAGAAAGGCCATACTCACCGCGGGTTCTGAAGAAGAAAGGGTGGTAATTGCTTTCATTTTTAATGGAAGGAAAAGGGACGATCTTCACAAAGTAATCCGTCTCAAATTTCATATTTAGGAAAGGTTGAGATTCCATTCCCTAAAAGGGAATAAAAACAGACATGATATCATGAAGAAATTACCCACCCCTACACCTACACACAGGACCTTCAGTCCTCTCTGATAGTCACCCAGATACCGCTCCAGAGCTAGGGGCTATTTTCTGGACCAAGTTTAGGTTTGGATCCCTAACCAAAATAAAGACTGACAATGCTGCCTGTGCTCTGGCAAAGAAGCCCTAGGTGGTGAATGCGGAACCTCAAAGCTGGTGGGGAGGAGTCTGCGTGCTCTTGAGTGCACAAAGCCACCTTCCAGGACATGTAACCTGAGAGGTGTGTTTACCAGCAAGAGGTGCTGGAGGGTTTCTCTGGGTGTGGAGCAGGCTCAGGGTGTTGCCGAGCTGTTTCTCGCCCACCTTGGCAGGAGGGGTGGACCCCACAGCCCCTCCTTCTCCAGTTTCACAGACATTCAATAGACCATTCAGACGCCCAGAACAATGGCGTGTCTCCAGGGGCACATTCCCCGCGTGTGACTTACAGTTCTTTTGAAGCTACTGTTGAGCTGCTTTGGGTCCTTTAGAATCAGTTGTTGGCACCGTCTTCCCTCTGACTTCAGCTCCTCCAGTATTACTCGAAATCCTTTTAGGAATTCGATGCCTAAGCAGAGCAGAATGCTTTTATTAAAAGCCGACCTAATTACTTTTGAACACACTTTCCTTCCTCCAAGATTACCATCCTTTCCACCTACACAACGGAGGTAAAGGAATTCTTACTTTGGCTAGCACATCTGAGTCTTACAGAAAGGAAAACCACATACCCCGCATTCCTCTGGTACAGGCCAGGTGATTGTCTCCATCCTATCATTACTAATTAATTAGCTCTAATCCAGCCAGCTACTTCACAAATGCCCATTGCCTGTGACATTAGGGTTCAAATATATAGACTCAAGTCACAACTGATCCTAAAAGTCTACAGTGGAATACACAATTTCTAGGTCCTGACACAGAGTGTCAGCTGATGGTAATTCCCAATGCTGACTAGGGACTCCCGTAAACCATGTTTCTGCTTTAAGTTTTCGTCCTATATTTTGCTGGCATGGTTCATCCAAGTAATGCACAAAATTCCCAACAAAGTGTGTGTCTACACCCAAGGGGTTTCTAGGTTTGGGATTAAATAGCTCAGAACGCCCATGTGATTTACAAAGTTCTTGCTCTAATCATGCCTGAAAGGCAGACACCCAAGGGCTGCCCAGTGTGCGCTCTTCATACAGCCCTCAGAGGCCCCGAGACGCCCACAGTGCCACTGAAAGACGCCCGGCCCAGCCTCCCGCCACCTGAGGATTAAGCTCCACTGATCACAAGAGCCAGTACCAGTGCTCTTCGTCATTTGGAGACTGGAGCGGTCCGACTGCAGCTGGAGATCCCCAAAGCCGGCCTCAACTGGCACGGTATTGATTTCGCATTCTTTCTGAACACTAGACAAGGAGACAATTTCAACCCTTCCCCTCCCGGGGCAGAAGTAATGACATAGGATGCAATTAACCAGGTGGAAAAAGTACCGATGGCAAAGGACAGGGAAATCTTTTTCGAAAAGGTTCTTTAATCCTATAATTATTTGATGAAGAACACGTATTTTATGGTGAGTAGGGCAAAGGAGTTACAATTAGAGCTTCACATTTTCAGGGGTCACGGGGTACAGTGTGCAGGCACTGACTCTGCTGTACTGTATTTCAAGTTTAAAGCTTCCTGTGGGGGGTGAGAGCCACCTGACCCACAGCCCAAGATTCAGACACAACAGGAGCCACAGTCTCTGACCAGCAACTAAGATTTAATTCATGTCATGTCCCTAGAACTCCTGTTTAACAAAAGCTGGATGATTCATATAATTAAAGACTGCGCACCTCACAGTTTCATAAAATTCATCAGCTGAGGTAGGAGTAGGTGGTTCTAGTCCTTATTTTTATTTATTTTTTTAAATGTTTTTTCAAGTATTTATTTAGAGGGAGAACACAAGTCGGGGCAGAGAGAGAGACAGAGACAGAGACAGAGAATCCCAAGCAGGCTCCATGTTGTCAGCACAGAGCCCGACGCGAGGCTCGATCCCCCAAACTGTGAGATCATGATCTGAGCCAAAATCAAGAGTCAAATGCTTGGGACACCGGGGTGGCTCAGTCAGTTAAGGGTCCGACTTTGGCCTGGGTCATGATCTCACGGCTCGGGAGTTCGAGCCTTACGTCGGGCTCTGTGCTGACAGCTCAGAGCCTGAAGCTTGCTTCTGATTCTGTGTCTCCCTCTCTCTCTGCCCCTCCCCTGTTCTCTCTCTCTCTCTCTCTCTCTCCCCCCCTCCAAAATAAATAAATGTTAAAAAAAAATTTTTTTTTTAAAAGGGTCAGATGCTTAACCAACTGAGCCACCCAGGAGCCCCTAGTTCTAATTTTTAAGAGGTTAGTGTGAAAAACCACTATGCCAAGTCTGGCAGGTGGGGGTAAAAGCAGCAAATGTAAACCTTAACGCCTTTATCACAATGCTCTGAATTCCTTTTAGTTACACGTTTAACAACTTTACAGAGCAACTTCCCATGAAGGGACGTATTTACTCCTTCTCATCATTTAAAACTCATTAATCCTCCTGGCATCCATGGGAGGAAGGTATTGTCCCTCATTTTACAAATGAGGACATAGGGACAGAGACAGTGACTGACTTATCTGGGATCACACAGGAATTAAATGGCAGATGTGGGATTCAAACCCAGGAGTGTCTGGCTCTAAGCTGGTACACTTTTTTTTTTTTTTTTAACGTTTGTTTATTTTTGAGAGACAGAGACAGAGCACGAATAGGGGACAGGCAGACAGAGAGGGAGACACAGAATCCAAAGCAGGCTCCAGGCTCTGAGCTGTCAGCACAGCACCCGATGTGGGGCTCAAACCCACGAACCGTGAGATCATGACCTCAGTTGAAGTTGGACACCCTTCTAAGCTGGTGCTCTTAACCCATATGCTTTTCTGTCACCCAAGGAGTCTTTTTTTTTTTAATGTATATTTATTTTTAAGAGAGAACACAAGTGGTGGAGGGGCAGGGAGAGAGGGAGACAGAAGATCTGAAGCAGGCTCCGCACTGACGGTTTGAGCCCAACGCAGGGCTCAAACTCACGAACCAAGAGATCATGGCCTGAGCCGAAGTTGGACACTCAACCCACTAAATCACCCAGGCTCCCCAGGAGTTTCCTTGATAGAACCTGATAGAAACAGATAGAACCTGTCCACCCACAAATCGTCATTCAGGAAAAGCACCACATTCTGCCCTCACTGCTCCACCTGTTAGTTTTCCAACCACCTAGCTTCCATCCCTTACTTGCATTCTAAAGGAGACTGCAATTTGTCAGGCCAACCCCTCAACCGTATAGCCTTACATGGAATGACCACTTCCTGTTGATCCACAGAGAATGTTTTTATCTTTAAATGTTAAGATAATGTTATTTTTGGAAAACCCACTGGGTTCAGACCCAGCAGTATTTACACGGATAAATGAGTCAGGCCCATGGATCTAATCCTTCCTCCCTCACTCTGCACTCACCTCTCCTGCAGTCTGGTTTTTCTGAGAATTATCCTGTTCAGATTAAGAAATCCAGACTTTATGTTACTTTTCCCTTATCCAGATTTCTTTTTCTTTTTTTTAATTCTAAGATTCAGTGGCAATGTCAAAGAAACAGGTTTGAGGACCAGGTTTTGATGATGATAACAGTAGCCATTTTTTTTTCTTCTTAAAGATTTTATTATTATGCTTTTTTTATTTGAGAGAGAGGGAGGGAGCACAGCAGAGGAGAGGGGCAGAAGGAGAGAAAGAATCTCAAGCAGACTCCAGGCTCAGTGCAGAGCCCAATGCAGGGCTGGATCCCACCACCCTGGGATCATGACCTGAGCCAAAATCAAGAATTGGACACTCAATCAGCTGAACCACCCAGGTGCCCCTAAAGATTTTAAGTAATCTCTACATCCAACATGGGACTTGAACTCACAACTGAGATCAAGAGTTGCATGCTCTACCAACTGAGCCAGCCATGTGTCCCAATAGCCACTGTTTTAAATTTTAAGAGCTCTTTCTAGAGATGGCTGGCTGACACAGTTGGATGACTCTTGATCTCAGTGGTCATGAGTTTGAGCTCCACGCTGGGTACCCAGATTATTTAATAAAAACTTAAAAAATAAAAGAACCCTTTCTAGAAATACTGCGTGCGTGTGTGTGGAAATCTTACAAAAACCAGGAGGCTGTCAGTCATCTTCACATCACAGATGGGGAAGCCAGGGCTCAGCAAGGCTTAGCAGCCTCTTGTGGCAGGTAGAATCTGGGTTCACACCCAGGCCCATCTGAACAAATGGGCTCTGACCATGTCCCCCACCCAGCTGTCCCATCCTCTCTTATAACATCAACTCATTAAAGAGGACAAGCAAACTCTGCCCTAATCTGAATCTGACCAGATAATGTGGGTTTGCTTTTTTTCTGTTTCTTCATTTTGAATTTTTTTCAGCCCACATAGTTCACATAAATTCAGTTAGTTGCCAAGATTTAAAAACTATTAACTTTAGAGTCACTTGGGTGGCTCAGTCAGTTGAGCATCCGACTTCGACTCAGGTCATGATCTCATGGTTAGTGACTTCAAGCCATGCATCGGGCTTGCTGCTGTCAGCATGGAGCCCATCTTAGATTCTCTGTCCCCTCTCTCTTTGCCCTTCCCCTGTTTGCTCTCTCAAAAAAAAAAAAAACACATTTTTCTTAAATTATTGATTTTATGGATTCTTACGAGCCCTGAGATATTCCTGTAAACTCACAACACGTGCCAGTGCTGTGCCCGGATATCCATGTGGGCATACAGATGGCCAATGCTGGACACTAAAGCCATTATGCCCTTGGACAGGTCACCTGTCCCCTGGCTACTGCTTAGACCCAAAGGCTAAGGCCTCAGCACGATTTATTGCCATACACCATTATTCTTCAAACCCACATCTCTCTCAGTAACAGCCAAGGGAACAAAACATGAGCCATGGGGTACAGTATTGAGCTCTGTACATGCCCAGGAAGTACATGCAATGAAGCAGGAAGCATATCTGTGCCCAAGCACACCTAAGCTACACGTATGTCAAGACCTGCCTGGCCCCTGCAGGTTGTCACACTGGGACCCTTGCACTGGTCACCACCCACACAGGCCACATGCTGGGCTCCATTTTGACCACTTACCAAGGGCCCCTGGGGACCAAAGAATGGTGACTGCCACTTGCTCATGGCAAGCATACTGACTGATGGTGATGTTCTGGGCATCAGCAATCACGTGCTTCCCCACTGGATTCAAGTAAGTGGTGCAGTCTAGACAGTTGTGAGAACAAAAACAGTTAGATTAAAACTTTAAATTTTACAATTTTTTATTCCCAGGTTCATCTTCTCAAATTACAGAGCCATCCGGAGGCAGCCAAAGCCATTCTGTTTAAAGATGTGTGCCTCAAAAGCCCAAATATGACAGTAAAGTGTGACTATTTGGGAAACTGTAAGATGCAGTCGTGGAATTTACTTATAGCATCACCACCACCCCACCACCACCCCCCACAAGTTAACTTCTAGGACAGCATTAGGGGAGGATCATATACAGTCTGGAGTTGGACTATGTATCTGGCATTAACTTTTTTTTTTACTGTTAAGACATCTTACCTAAATCAAGAATTATTTACATTACTTCCATCAGTTTTCAGCATTAGAGAGTGATCTGAAGCAAAACCAATGGCTAAATACTGGGGCTTGTTTTTAGAAGAAACCTGGAGGCAAAGTGAGCAGGGAAAGGAAGTAATAGGGTAAGACTCATGGGGGAGGGGCGCACAGCAAGACAGTTAAAACAATCCAATTAGTACCTGCAAAAGGTACTAACTGACTTCCTGATGAGTGAAGCACCTCCAGTGTTAACTGGCGTCGCAAAGGGAAAACACCATGTGTTAATCCAAGACATCCACAATGCCCACCAAACCCAAAGAGTTCCACATTACTCAGCCAATGAAGACCCGATTCTCTGATTTTGCCTGAGGACATTACTTGCAGCCAGGTGTCAATGTGGCCACTACCACGTGAGCAACTGTGACACCTGGTATTGCTAAACACATCTTCAAAGTCTACAGAATCCTAAAAAGCTGCCAGAAGCTTCCAGCCAGACTCAGCATGGGACTCCAGACAATGACCGTGGGCTGTTCTGGCCACTGACGCAGGGGAGAACCATCGGCCCTCCTCGGCAATTTTTTTAAGGTTTTTATTTATTTATGTTGAGAGAGAGAGTGCGCGCGAGCGAGTGAGCAGGGGAGGGGCAGAGACAGAGGAAGAGAGAGATTCCCAAGCAGGCTCCACACCATCAGTACAAAGCCCAATGCATGGTTCGAACTCAAAAACTGTGAGATCATGACCTGAGCCCAAACCAAGAGTCAGATACTTAACAACTTCCAGGTACCCCAACTCACAATTTTTATGCTGCTTCATCTCCATTTCTTTCTCAATGGTTAAACTTGAAAACTCTCTTTGGTATCTGCTGCAAAAGGTCCTCAGTTCCATCTAATGTCCAAAACTACTCATTACCCCTCCAAAGTTGGGGTGTTTTTCTTTGAGGTGAAGCAGTAAGGGGTTATTTTCTAGGCTCAGTGAGTCTGCTGCACTCCCACTGCCCCTGCTGTGCACCGTAGCATACATTTCCCATTTTTATGACTAAAAACCTTCCCTCGATACTTGAAAATTATAAAAGAACGTAAGAAAACTATAGAAGTCATCCATACCTTCCCACCACGGAGATAACTACTATCAACTTCTAAAGGACATGCTTCCAAGCCTTTTAATGTGCATATAACATAAGTCCTTTTAAAATTTCTTACTAAAATTCAAAACACCTGCACCACAATGCACCCCCCCCCCCACTCGGGTAACTCCCATCCCTCACAGAGCTTTGTGCCCTGCTTTCTTGCCTAACTGCACCCCCTTCCGGAAACTCCATCTGCTTAAAAAGCAGCCACCTCTACATTTCAATATTACTTCTTTTGAAAAGATGTTAATAATTAATAAAACCAAATTCTACTTCTAATGAAAATTGACTCTTGAAGCATACAACATATGTTCTCTGGGTGCAGAAGAGAATTTTAGAATAGAAAAAAATGTTTCTTTAAACATCTGGTTTAACACCCACATTGTACAAATGAGGAAACGTTTTGCAGTTAAGAGGCCAGCTGGGTGGCTTAGGATTCCGCTGCTGACCAGCCCTGGGTCTGGACAGAAAGCAGCCTGGCTCATGAAGGGCTCTTGCCATTCTAGCCTCAGCACAGAGATTACGACTATAGTAAATTCTGAATCAGAAGTGGTTAGCCTGAAAAAAATCCCTGGCTGAAACAAGCTTCCCAATATTAAAAAAAAACAAAAACAAAAACAAAAAACCATCAGACTTGTCAATTTCAAACATTTTTCATTTTTCGAAACCTCTGACTTAAACAGCTGTTAGGAAAAGATGCACGAAAACAAGAGCAAATCATGGTTTTTTTTTTCCTTTGTTCATTCCTAATGCCAAAATTAGCACTCTCCAGGTTTCTATAAATATAATTATGCAAATATAAAGTCGAAGAATTAAGAAAATGTATTACAACCTACTCAGGCATTACTACTCAGAGCCCAAAGAAGAAACGAGAAATGCAAAATGAAAGGAGGCGTAGAGACCTAGGAGATTCGGTTTTGACTTAATGGCAAGACATTACCTTTCTTTGTAACATCAAATGGCAAAAGAGCAGAAATATAAGATTTTGTAGTTTAACCCTTTTGGTGAAAACCTGATCATTGGCTCTCAGCTCTTTCAAACAGAATGAGTAACCAGTCAACTGAGCAAGAACAGAAACTTCCTTGTGGAAGAGAGAAAGAAATATCTTTTCAATGGAAAACAATGAATAAATTTTTTACACAAACCTGGATCCAATTATTAGCAACTCTAACATTTTGGATTCTGGTTACCAAAAAACTATGCCCAAATGACATTTTGCCAAAATGCAACTGAGCTTCAGATGTCTCAGGAGTCAATTCAAGTTGCGAATTAAATTCTAATTAAATGCTGAAGAGTAAGAAAGAAAGAAATGACTAAGAGACAGGCATCAGGCATGTGGGCCAAATGTTTAGTCCCATGAAGAAAACAATAGATACTTTTAAGTTTTACAGGTACAGATCCTCTTTCACAAAACCCCGTATTAAATTAGAGCTGCAAATACTTGTTTGCAGCTGACCGGAAAATTTTGAACTATTGAATGTAATACAAGATCTGCCAGGACCAAGAGCATATATTAGAAATTAACTTTGTAGCTCAAAGAGAGATCTCTTACACATGTCTTTACTTAGCTGAATTAAGTGTTCTGGACTTGCAAATCTTTCATTAGCATTACAGCATTTACCCAGAACAGGCACCCACCACTAACTTGAAATGTCTGTTTCAAATGTAAGTCCTCATTGGTTAACTTAAAATACTCACATCAGCAACTGCGGGCATAAATTTGACACACATATTTGTATCTTAAAATTGTTAGATTGTATACATGACCTCAAAAATCTTGCTCTAGCAGTGATCATTTCAAAGGCCTCACTGTGACCTACACCCATTATTTACATGGATTCACAACCCTCTCCAAGAGATGAATCAAATGTCAGGAGTCACTTAAATAGGAGTCAAGCTCCCTCTTGTTAACGTTTTTACATATAAATTATGGCTCATAAGGCTAAAATGCTCACAATTCCATATAATTACCTTCTCAGGCATGCAGCATTTGCTAAGGGGAGATTCTATATGCTTAATCAGAAAAAGCACCCCACCCTGCCCTTAGGAAACAATTCAGACAGATTAAGTCACACTTCCTTGAGAGAAAGGGCCAAAAAGATGCTGTATTCCAATTCTGGTTGGAATGACTTCTAATATTAACAGATATCAATTACTGAGTGCACATTGTAGGCCAGCCACTGAGTTAAGCAGTTAAAAGCATTACCTCATTTAACCCTCAAAATGATGCCGAGGAAGAACCTAATCTTTATTTTATATGATGTGAAAGCTGAGGCTTGAAGTCAAATCACCTGCCACAGCTCACAGCTGACAGGTAGGGAACCAGAGCTGGAATCCAGGCGAAGTCAGAGATGGCCAACTGGAGACCCTTGGGCAAATCTGGGGCAACGTTCACTTGGCCCACTCTATGTGTGTGAAAAATTTTAAATAGATGACAGTATTAAAAAATGGTTAGACAAAAAATGCAAATTTCTTACTCTTCTTCGAAATCACATCTGGCCACACTCGGGGAATTTCAAGGCCACCGTGAGCTGGAATGGAGAGAAGCCAGTGCCCCCTTCAGACCAGACAGTCCCTGCTACTCCCTAGCATCTTGCACTTGAGTAGCTTTGTCCCATGCTGGGCCCTACAGGCATCTGCCTTAGTTCTTAAGGACATGACTACATCCTGAAGAAATCAGGGGAGGTCTCCCTCCATCCAAAATTTCTCCCAACACTATGGAGGGCACTTGACCTATCCAGGCTCCCAAATACTTGAGTGACTTAATGGAGACTCAGCCAGCTGCTTTAGCTCTATTGATAAACCTGAGCAGGTTCAGAAAATTCCTCAACCCTAGGACCTCAAGTGTCCTTGATTGAGCATGACTGTGTGAGCTTTAGATCACTGAACGGGCCCCATTCTTCGGCGGTGAAGCCAGTTACTTACTGTCATATCTGAAGGTGATGTTGTGCAGCCCACTGTTTCTGCTGGCCGGCCCCACTCCCTGTGGGAAAACAAGAGAACATGATGAGGAGAAAAGCCAATTTGCTTTTCCAGCACAGATCCCTTGGAGTCAAAATGTACACAAGATAACAAAGACCCAGGGTCATGCCAGTCGCTGAGCAGTATCTACCACTCTTCCCGCCCACTCTGTGCCTCTTCTCCCCCACTGACTGCCAACCTCCCTCCAGCCCAGGAGATTCCTACTGTCAGGCCGACAGCATCATGAGAACGTACTTCCCTAAGACAAGAGGAGCATGCTGTTCCGTGTTTGGGGGTTAAATAATAATTCATTAACAGTAAAATTGGGAGAGAGATCATGAGCTGCCAGCTGGAGCCCTTCCACTTGGATCTGCTTTGAGCACTGATTGGTTATAAAATTCGCCTACCAGACACTCTCGTCCAAAAGCTCTATTAAGCCACGACAGATAGGCAATTCCTCAAGTCTAAGGAAACAGGTTTCTCATTCCAAGACTGGGAATGAGTGTGGGAATAAGCCATTACTTTTAATGAGAAAATTCTTCACTGTATCCATACCTATGCTTGGAATATATAGGGTGGGTCATAAAAGAAAAAGAAAAAAGACTTTAAAAGGGCTAACTCTAACTCTTGGTGATGTGGCCGTTAGCCATCTGCACTCTTAATAGCAGGGATAACAACTCCGCCAGACTCCCCACTTTAATTACAGCATCCACAGAGGGAGCACCGGATTCCTCCCGTTGCCCAGCCTTTTCCTAACCCACCACTTATCCATCATGGGAAAGAGCAGCTACAGACCTGCCGACTCTGGTTTAACTGTTTCTGTAATAATCTGCAAATGTGCCATTCAGCATTAATTGCAGAAGTCTCCAAAAACAGTTAATTCTGAAATGCTAAATGATGGGAAAATATTCTAACCACACAGCTAAAGTTTCCACTTAACAAAGGGGATGTTGGGGAAAACCATATGCTGGCAGCCCGGTATTTAATGGGCAATTGTCACACTGAGACACGATGTGCAGAATACTTCTGATGGAGCCCAGGGTCTCAGGCCACAACCCCATCATATCCATATGCTGTAGACATGTTCACGCTTTTTAGCCTGAAGCCAGGCATGCCCACTGAAACCGTATCCTTGAGCTCAGATAAACATGGACCTTAGGAAAGCACAGCTGTGCAGAAAGGGACACACACACACACACACACACACACACACACACACACTTCTAATTCAAGTGAGAAATAAGCAGTAACAAAATCTAAATCAACATGGTACACTAGCCCATGATCTACGGAGGCTCCCTTTCTTCCTGATTCACCTTCCTCCTCCAGCTTTCCTGTTTCCATCCTCCTTTTCCCATATACACAAGATTCCAGAATTCCTCCCCTGAGCTAAAACACTTTGGAAAGGGTTGTTTTCTTATTAAAATCCTAAATGCCTCCGTAAATCCTTAGGGACAAGGCCTCTAATGTGCCACAAGAGTCTGCCCAACTTCCAGATGGTCAAGCCCAGACAGACACAACCAGGCAGGAGAAAATGCACTCTCTCCAAAACCCTTAGGAAATGCCCCAAACCACACCTTTCTCCCTTAAAAACCCCCGAGATATAAAATCACTTACCATTAATTACTATTATGAGCTAGACATCATGCTAGGTATAGTGGTGAGGAAAACAGCCACTGGTCCTGTCCTCAGGAGCACAGTAGTTCATTCCTTCAAAGGAGACTAGTTGGGTATGTGGATCACATGCAAGGTATATAGACAAATTTCAAACCACACCTTGACTCTCCAGGAACCCTCAGCGTGGCATACAAGGAGGGTGCAACTAGGTGAAGAGCCGGCCATAAATAAACATACAGCTTATGAAATGCCATAAGGTAGCACCTTTGCTACCATGCCATGAGGTAGCACCTCACAAAGGATGATTCAAGGGTGAGGACAGCACACACCAGAAGCTTGAAAGAAGGAAGGGTAACCGGACTACAAGGGAGAGGAAAAGGGAGCATCACGGAAGGCAAACATCTACAGGCCAAGGTAGGTATCTTAATCCTTCCATCCTCCTGCTGGTGACCAAGGGCAAACCTCTTCACTCCACCAGGTTGGAGTGTCCTCAACTATTTTCCTAAAAAGATAATTTGCATGACTCTCCCCTGGGACAGGAGTTTGAGGAGGACCACGTGAAGCCATGTAGAGGAAGCACTTTCCAAAAAGCAAATGCATTTCACTTAACAGCATGCTTTGAGGTCTGTAGAACTCTAGTGACCAGTGACTAGTCACCTTACTTGTAGGACTAGCAGCTTTTCACTTTGTTCTTGTTCTCCTCATATTTCCATCGCAGCACGTTTTTTTTTTCTTTTTTTAAAGATTTTATTTTAAAGTAATCTCTACCTCCAATGTGGGGCTCCTACTTACAACCCTGAGATCAAGAGTCACATGCTCTACTGACTGAACTGGCCAGGGGCTCCTGCTGCAGCATGTTTTTAACAGGTATGTACTGGGCACTTGCGATGAGCTTGCATTGTGGAAAGAAGCCCAATATCGTGAGATGTGTTATATCTTGCAGACAAGAACCTAAATCCTTCCAAATAAGGTCTGTGCTGTATGCAGAGCTGTTCAGAAGAGGGCCCAGTGAGCGTGGCCTCAAAGGACAGTGAGGCTTGCATACAGCATCGATTCACTACCCACAAGGCATTCCACCTTGACCCCACCCCTGCAGGGCTGGGCACTTTTGGTCATCGACCAGAACTGGGTCCTAATCTCAGGGGCTTTGGCCACCAAAGTGATCTCCTCATGTGCAATTCTGCCCTCATTCCTCTGCTCCAAGCCCACCACTAGCTCCCTGTCCCTCCTAGAACATTCCCGATGTGGCTCCTGCCTGTCTTCTCAGCCGCTCCCCTCCCCACCTGCCAAACTCCTCCAGGCACTGCATTACTGCTCAGCACAAGTTCAGGAGCACTTCTGTATCCCAGAATGCCCTTCGTACCAGCCAAGACCTGCTCCTCCCATGGGCTTCTGCCTTAGTCCGTCTAGCTCCATCACACAGTGTTCCTGACACACAGATGTGCCTGCATATTCACCCGATGAGAGTACAGTAACCCACCCTCACAACCTGACTGGCCTGGCACTTCTGTTAACGCTCATGCAAAATGGTCATTCTAATTCCACACAAAAATCAGAGACCAAAAGACCCTGTGACTAAGCCTCATCCTTGAGTTCAGAGGCAATAGAGCACAGAGCTCAACTCCATCAGAAGTACCAGTTCCTGTGTGCACTGGGAGACCTGTCACTCTTGGCAGTCATCCAGGGCATGGCTTCTGAGCACATGCCATTAGACAGATGCTCCATCGGGCTGTCCTTGCTTCGCACCCAAATGCTCCCGCTGCTCCGGAGCCCTCAGAAACCACAGGAGAAACGGTGTGCCCAGACTAGCCCACAGAGCACTACTGTTTTCTTTATGCTTTGTGGTAGACAGAATACCAGCCCCCGCAAAACAACAGGTCCCCAGGACCCATGCGGTTACGGCACACAGCAAAAAGGACTGTGAAGATGCAATTAAGTTTAAGGAACCTGAGATGGAGAAAGCATGTTGATGAGCCCACTGTTATCACACAGGTCCTTTTAAGTGGGATACAGGAAGATCAGAGGAGATATGGCCACAGAAGCAGAAGGCAGTGAGGCAGACATTGATTTAAAGATGCTACACTACTGGTTTTGAAGATGGGGATAGAAGGGGCTCATAAGCCAAGGAACATAGGCACCTCTAGATGCTATAAAAGGCAGAAAAGGGTTCTCCCTAGAGCCTCTAGAAGGAGCCAGTCCTTGATTTTCAACCCCACATAAGACTCATCTTGGAACTCTGACTCCAACAAGATAATGAATTCGTGCTGTTTTAAGTCACTAAATCGTGACAGTTTGTTACAGCAGTAATTGAAAGCTAACACATACATATACTTTAGCTGCAATATGGATGAAACGGATCTCAGTGTCACACATGTGCTGCGTGTTGTCATTTTCCCCTTCCCACACCCAGGGCAGACTGATCGATCACTTGTCACAGCCCTCTATCCCACCCCGGCTGTAGGCAGACGTGAAACACTGACCCATCAAGCTGTTGCTTCAGATTCTGCCATCCTGGATGCACGCTTTTGAGGGCTAGCCTGTGGCATATCTGGAGTGGAGGAGTGGTTAACAGGATGGGCTCTGGAGTTGTACAGATGTGTGTTCAAACCTCCCCCTTTCAGGCTGTAGGACCTTAGACAAGCTTCCAAACTTTCCTGAGCCTCGTTTTCGTGAGCTATTAAAGTGCTTGAATAAAACTTCTTGGAAAAGTTCGGTGTGGAACTGCATGAGAAGACATGTTATCAAGTATTCTGCACAGCACATGACACACTGAAATAGTTATGTTACCATTCCTGGGAAGATTCCTGCCCTAATAAGCAAAGAGCTGTGCAGCGTGGGAGTACGTGAGGTAGACAGGGGAACGCTCACAGGAAGGGGCATCTCCAGATATGACCAGCATCCAAACCTGGGGGGTCTGGCAGATGGGTGGAAAGGTCAGGGCAAGGTGACAGAGGCACTAACCACCAGACTAAGGAATGGTCTTGGTGGGAACTGGGCAACCCAGTGACCCCCATCACTGGTAAGTGCTCAGGCTGCATCAGATGGGAAGAGACTGGAGGCAAAGTGACCAGGGCGGCCCCCTACTCCCTCATCCTTCTCCAAGCTTGCACCACAGTCTGGCCCTGGCCCATAGCCAGCCCTTGATATATATTAGTTTTCTGCCTGAATGAATGAATACATGATGAAACTAGGGAACGCAGACCAAGAACCCAAGAGGACCTAGCCTTGCGTGACAGGGTGAGTTATGGGCTTAGAATCAGGACTCGCACTACGAGAACATGGTGAGCAACTTACAAAGCTGGTGAATGGTTTTGCAAGCTGTTTTTCAGTAAACAATCCAAAGCTTTTAGCTACTATACCTGGTTTGATATTTAATGAGCTTACAATTAAGAATACTTGTTTGTG